ACATTCTTTATAATATGGTAAAAATAAATGTATAGTCGTCGTCATCGCGAAAGATAAATATCGTAAGTAACATGCTGAAAATGTTATTGATGTAACTTTGAATTATTAGAGTTTATTTATCCGTCTATCGTACGTACCTTCAATCCACGTAGTAACATATATATAACATAACATAACACACGCCTTTTAACCCCGAAAGGATAGGCAGAGGTGAACATTACGGCACTTGATGCCACTGTACAGTGTAACACCCACTTGTCAGTATTTATGTTATTAGTCACATATATATAATAGGGGGATGAGCCTATTGCCATATACCAGGCACAATTTCAAACTCCATGCTACTACTGAGATTTAAAAAAAAACCAGTACTTAATACTTTGCCTGACCCGAGAATCGAACCCGAGACCAATGAGGCAGTCACGTACCTAATTTACATGCATATTATAGAATGAATTATCTTCATAATAAGGATTTTTTTTAACGTTACGATTTGCTCCTGTGTCGTGGGTGCGTTTACAAACATACAATATCACATACGCATGACACCCAGACCCGGAACAACAATCTGTGGATCATAGATTGAACACCAAACTTGTTTTGAGACATCAATTCGTGAACCTCTATTCGTCTATTCTTTTGGGAAATAGAATGTAATAATCAGATTAAAAATTTACGTTACTTTTCCAAATCAAACAAATGCTTTGGTTTCACTCGCCGTAAGTGTTTATTAATTAAACTTAATATTGCCCTAGAGATTTAAAATTCATAGGTATAAACGCTAATGAAACTCCAATCAATGGTCGGTTAGTAAAACCCGACATTTTTTTTTCATATTTTAATATTTAATTACTATTTGCTTAGATCGACTGCCTCGTTAGCCGAGTGGACGCAAGTGCGACTGCCGGGAAAGGGGGTCTCGCGTTCGATTCTCAGGACGGGCAAAGTATTACTGGGTTTTTAAACAAAATCCCAGGAGTAACACGAAGTCTGGAATTGTAGCCGGCAGGTATATGGCAATAGGCTCACCCCCTATTACATGGGACGTAACATACATACATAACTAAATAGTGAAAAGTGGGTGGCTCGACCGGAGTGATACCACAGCCTTACAGAAAATCGACGTGAAACAACGCTTGCGTTGTGTTTCGTCGTGTGAGTGAGGTTACCGGAGGCCCAATTACCCCCCTCCCTAGTCTCCCGAATCCCCGAATCCTCCACAATCCTCAAATTCCCAATTCCCAAAAGGCCGGTAACGCACTTATAACGCCTTATCGGGTGTCCATGGGCGGCGCTGATTCCAGAACGGGTCCGCTCAAACTGTTGTGGTTCTTTCCTCAAAAGGCCACTACAGAAAGAACTTGCACGGTTCTCACACATAATATTTTTATACATATTTGTCTGGACTTTAAAAGAGACAGACCTCTGAGTTTGTTTCGGCATTTCTTCTCAGAGTAGTCAGTTAGGAAATGTCGACCTCATCGTTCGCTTGATAAAATTGACGTGTAAAAGTGCTGCCTTGTAGCCTATTTGCAGAAATAAATTCACTTGTTTCACTTGTTTCACTTGTTTCACTTGTTTCACTTGATTGCTTATCATCAGGTGATCCGTCTGCTCCATTACCAGCTTATGCTATAAAAAAAACATTGGCATTAAGTGCCGTGATGTGTACCTCTGCCTAACCCTTCGGGGATAAAAGGTGTGATGTTATATTGCTTCGTTATTTTTCAATATCTACCTAGTTCAATCAGTAGGCTCACCCCTTGTTCTATGATCGCAAAAAAGTAAAATAATTGTGTTACATTGTAAACATTAGGAATGTGCACATCTACCTACCTGTTTGGGGCTTATAACACAGTATAAAAATATACAGTAGGTTATCTAAGGCTGCCCGCCGAGTTATTAGCCTACTCTTGCGTTGATCCCCAGGGTTGTCACTTTTACTTTTAGTTAATATTTTCGAACAAGCAGCACTTGATCTAAATTTATGAAATGAAAAGCATATTATGATTGAATATTTTATCAATTTATAAATTTAGTAAAAATAAAAAGCTTATAAAAAGATTATTAACTTCTTAAAATAAACTTTAGCTCTATACATAGTATTCAGAAAGTAAATTTGGGAATACATTTATATGGAATAATGCGACACGGCTACGCTCTTAACAAATCAGATAAACTGTGAAATAAACAATACAATACCACATTTTCTTATAATATTTAAGTATAGTAGGTAATTAAATTTCTGGTTGAGTAGGAACTATGAAGAATGATAAGAGTAAGAATAAGTAAGTAGGTATCTCATCATCAAGTACCTACAAATTATATTATGCTAGAAAAAGTGACTAGCTTACCTTTCCTGTTCAATAGGTAATCTGAACAGAGACAGTTCTGGAATCGATTAATTATTAAGACACCCAAACACACAGCAATACGTTCTTCTACGGTTATCAGACATTTTTTATTTCATTTAACAGTGCCGAAAAGTGATGCGCGCGCGAACCTCGTGCAGTGTTAGCCCTGCCTGGCGCACTGAGAAACGGGTCGAGATTTTGTTAAAGTGTGCGTGCGTCGACGCATAGATACTATGGCGCACACATATAAGCCGCGCGCGGAGCATTTGTATGAAGATAACCTACTTTGTTCTTTATACTATGCTTATAAGGCATTACGTCATGTGTTATGTTCACAGAAGTATTAAAAAATATTACTTCTTTATTATATCTGTGGTTATGTTATGTATTATTTTTCAGGTTTTAAACCATTATGGAAAGTCACCGGCCCCAGCCATTATTATAGAGTAGCTTCCAAATGACGCAGATTTTGTTAACTAATTAGACAAGTTCTTTTGTCGTAAATCTATGGTAACTAACTAATCTTTGTATTTTCCAATCTCTTGTAATTCTGTTGATTTTGACAAGTATTATTTAGATACCTGTATTCTACATGGACGTATCTAACTACACAAGTATGTGGACCTACCGACGACGTTTATGATTTTTGAATACTTATAATTTTTAACTACCAAAAGATAGCTAATGGAGCTTTGAAAACTGAAAAGTTTCTTAAAAACAAACATCGTTAATATAGTCATCAACATCACGCCTTTTATCTCCGAAGGGGTAGGCAAAGGTGCACATTACGACACCTAATGCCACTGTACAATGTAACACCCGCTTTTCACTATTTATGTTATGAGTCCCATGTTTTAGGGGATGGGCCTATTGCCATATTCTGGGCACAATTGGCTAGTTTCCTAGGTTTAAAATAAATTGTTTCATCTATTCAATACAATAAATATTTAAGAAATAATCATACTCTATTCATTAATTTGTTAATTTACCTACTTTTGGATTTTTTTCTCGCTAATTTTAAGGAAATAAGTATGCTGTTTGACGCAGAAAAAATGATAACGTCATAAGTAGCGATCCAATACAAAATTCATAGAAAAGTATCGTTTTTGACATTTCAATAAAACTATTGAATTTGACTATCTGTCAACTACCGTATTTCAGAATCCGTGCTGCTACTGAGAATTTAAAAAACCAGTAATACCTTGCCCGACCTGGGAACCGAATCCGAGACCCCTTGTCCGGCAGTAGCACTACTCGGAGTACTCGGACAACAAGGCAGTCCTTAATATAGGTAGCCGGTAATTTCAGTTTTGTGCGATTGATTACAACTATTATTACATAAAAGAAATATTTAATTCCTTACTTTCATGAAAATAAGACTTGTTTTTGACTATCACCTGTCGACGTTTTTCGAGAGCATTCCATTTACACCCTGTATAAATCTAATGTACTGTGTAAATCTACATGTCACTGGCCTCTTAATTAAAATAATTGTTAAATATTCTACATCTGGTTCGTTATTTACTTGTACAACTTCTAGAAAAATCTATATTTTGTGCGTAGGTTCGAGTTTCAAAGGCAGACGTGTGCAAAATGCTTTTAAAAAGCGTAACATTGACGGTCGTATGAATAACAAGTTACCTTCCTTAGTTTAGGTACCTAAGGACGAATACACAATTGAGCTGTTATTTTGGAACCTTGAAGTTCTAGGAAATGTACATAATTAGGTACATATATCGTCACGAAAACATTTAGTTATCGTAATAGACCATTTTCGTCTTAATCTTTGGGTCTATCTTGTCTAGAAGTTAGGAGTTCTGTATGAAAATAATTTCTCAAATCTCAACGGGACAGAAATATTTAGAGCAAGTTTTCATGTACTTCAAATTAAATTAAATGATACGGCGATTAAAACAAATCCATTTCAAATCAACAGTTTCGTACCTAAATTACAATTCTTCAAAAACAAATCTATAAATAACATTAAGAATATTTACTCAGATTTGAAAATTTTTGAGCAGTTTGTTCAGTTGGTGCTTTTATTTATAAGTATTTAATTAAATAAACATTTTGATAAAATTATTATGCTTAAAATAATATATGGTGTTACTCAGGTACCATATATTTCTAGAACGTAATCCGTTATTTAAATAAAATATCATTATTATGACCTACAATTCTATCACAACAAGAAGAAAAAACAATTAGGTATATATCAAAAATAATAGGCAGTCTCGTCCAAAGCACTACCTCTAAAAGCAAGCAACTATTACGCAAACGAGACAGTTTTAGATATAAATTTGCTATGACATACAATGTGAACCCAGCCTTACCCAACTTCAGAATATACGTAGATACATAATTTGTCAAAATAGCTGGCTTCTCGAACCAATATAGACAGTGAGTGATCCCTTAACAAAAGTTATTATTGCAGAGGCGAGTGACAAACAATTTAACACATGCGTACCAATTAGTGTAGCATTTGTCTAAATTAGCGTAAATCTATTTGAACAATTGTTTGTTGTTTTACTTCGGTACATAGATTTCATATATAATACGCCTGGAGCTAAGAAGAGATTAGTGTTTTACTGAACTTGAGTAAAGCTAGATCAAGAGTTACAGAGCGAAAAAAGTAATCGAGACAAAATGAAGACCGCTACACTTTGTCTTGTTGTGGCTGCAGTATTTGTATATGTGGTAAAGATTTTTATATTCTACATATATTTTATAATAGATTCTTCACAGCCCAAGATTTATTAATGTGTAAATTATTTTTAGAGCGCCAAGCCTCAGCAGCCTCCTGCTGCACCAGCAGGTCAGCAGGTGGCTGCCGCTGGACAGGCGGCTGGACAGGCGGTAGGACAGGCGGCTGGACAAGCGGCAGGACAAGCCACTCCTGGAGCGCAAGCCGGCCAAGCACCCGGTAAGTAAATTTCCCAAAATCATTGAAAGGCTTACCTACATGCATACCTATTGGCTGAAATAACTTATAATAAAAGTAACACTAATAGATTACACTTTCAGTACCTAAACTTTAATGCAAGTATTTAAACCAAATGCGTAACCAAACCATTCAATTTTAATATCGACTCTTGTATTTGCTTTAGTTGTATTCTTAAACACCTCTATGTATATATGTATTTTACGTAGAAGATACATTTAACAAATTAAATTAATTTTGTATTCGTCCAGCGTAAGTTTTAGGAACGGGACAAAGGCACGCGTTTAGGAATTTAAATGCATTCCACAGTCGTAAATTGGCTATCTTATATTCAGTGGATTACCCTATGGGTATTCTATGTAGCAATAGAAACATTTTCAAACTTAATTAGATATCTGAATGTTTACCAGCTACCAATCAGCGGGATCTTTAAAACAACACTTCAATCAACCCATATTTTTAGTCTTCAGCCAGGTTACTAAAGATATTCGTTCACGTGAATCTCCGAATGTTGTTGTCTAATGTAAAAAAAAAACGTTTGTTAATATTTTTGAGAAAGATTGTACCTACTACATGCTATGCTGGCAATGTGGGTGACGAGCACTGCTGATGAGCACTAAATCCACAACCTTCAGACTCAGTCCTTTAGTTACCTAACGTGTGCGCAGAAAAATAATATAACATACCTATTGCAGGTGGTGCTCCATCTGGCGCGCCAGGCGCTGCCAACGGTGCCGCTCCTGCAGCTAACAACGCCGCCGCTAGTAACTCTGCTGGTGCTGGTGCCCCCAGTGGCGCCCCTAGTGGTGCTCCTAGTGGTGCTCCTAGTGGTGCTCCTAGTGGTGCCCCTAGCGGTGCTCCTAACGCTGCATCTCAAGCTGCTGCTGGAGCCAACCCTGGCGCTAACCCTTCTGCTGCTGGAGGTAAACACATATTACTCACACAGTTTAGTAAAGTTAACAGTGTAGTCAAAAGACCCATCTTCCCCCCGATCCCTAATTAATAAAAATCAAAATCCCCCAATGATCATGGGTGGCGTTATTTGCTTACCATCAGATGCCTACTCGTTTACCGCCGTAATACTTAAAAACAACTCACAAGAATATTTCAAACATCACGTGTTTACAAGATTTGAGCTAACTATTGCTGCTAAAGATCCTGTTTCACAAGTTGCAAAGCAGGCTCCAGAACAAGAAAGCCCTGAAATGCCTTAGAAAATACTACACACCGAAGAAACTATGATATTTACTTACAAGGCATATTTTAAAGGTCTCAAAATCTTTGGCAATTCGCACGATTTTATTTGATACCTGTCTAATGCATTAACAGAAACTTCTAATAAATACGTTTGATCTGTTTCAGGCTCACCAAATCAATCTTCAAACCAACAAAACTGTAAGTACGTATAATAGTATCGATCTAACAAATCCCGATACATTTCCACGTAACTAGGTTTAGGTATAACTGCATATAAGTAATTACTACACTATTATTCCACTTCATTTTTATGAGATAAATATCATAACACAACTTCAAGCAGATGGGAGAAATAATTCGATGACTTTCCCCATAAAAAAAATTAAGCATCACATTCCCAAAGGGCTGAAAAGGTCTCATAATTGCATGCTCAACTTAAATTATTAATCCCAAAGTTCATCAACGAAAAATTAAAACAAATAACATGAATACAATTCACACTGAAACGAGATGTTAACAATTTAATGGGCACTATAGGATCGTAAAAGCATGACATGGTATAAAGTAATCATCCGATTTCTCGCCACCAATACTTTAAGTACATGATGTTATGTGTTTTTGTGGCTTTATTACAGCAAACATCATCGACGAGGCCATGAAGGAAGGAAAGACCATGGTGGATTTCTTCGCACAAAGGTTCATTCCGGGTGAGTAAAATCCATAAATGACGTGAGAAATTATCGATCGTTTATATCCTTTACCATCAACATCAAACAAGAAGTTCAAAAATACAGAATGAACCACGTGGTTTCATAAATATAACGTAAAATACCACGCCGTGGAGTTTTGTTAGAGGGCTACATAAATGTACCTAAGTACTACAATAGGGGGTGTAAAAGATATAGTCAGTTTCAAAAAACTGTATTCTTTTGGAATTATAGATAAAAGTCTATTAAGCTCTTGACTGTCGGTATTTGAGGCACAATAGAAAACGCATTGTCTCGCGTCTACACTCCGAAATACAAGAGGTTAAGCGACGAATTTCATAGTAGTGGTTGTTATTTATTGACGCTTGTCTTTTTAACCTTAAAATGTATAGTGATGCTGATTTGATCTGACATATTTTTTAATATTTATTTATTTATTCCAGGTTTCCAGGGATAAGGCAATTCTTCCAACGAACAGTCCCCGTACAATAAATTCACAACTGAACAGGATTTGCAACACTGAACGATAATGTATTACCGACTGTAGTTTCCTAGGTTACTTAGATTTTAGTCAATAAATATTTCAAAACACACTCACTGGTTGTTATAAATAACCATCCTATATACAGGCATCAAGGTAGTCTCAATCCACTAGTTACGTCTTACGCATGCAGTAAGTCAGTTTTCATACTAAATCTACTAAACTACCTTCAAAAACTATAAAAGAAACATAATAAATTATTAATTATTTTTTATTCAACATCTTACTATTCTATGATCTTGCTAGAGAAAAACCGACCTTAAAGTATTAAGACTACCGAAACATACTACTATTTTTCATCTGTGGACTAACTACACCTAATATGATTCTATTGGAGTATTGAAAGAAGACTTATTATCCTTCTACACCGTGTCTTCTTCAACCTTGACCTCCTCGGCACACGACCTAATTTTGACGGATAACATAATACGTCATACTTCATTTTCACTTTCTCACACACCGGTGTAGGAACTCCAACCTTATCCTTAAGCGAATAAAATAACAAATTATTTAACAGCAATTTATTATAGCAATTAAATATGTAAAACTAACAATTATTTGTACGTACATTTGATACCTATGACCTAATGTGGCTAAGCTATCTAGATTAATTTGTGTCGTTTAGTTTCTCTTATAAAATACTTTAATAAGCTCATAAAATATTAAGATAATAGTTTAAACTTGCTTATAGTAAGTAAACATAATTATTATACCATTACAAGCCAATACATAATATAATAAACACATCATTATCACAAGATACTATTGATTGAAAAATACATAAATAATAATCAACTTTACTACGAATAAAATAAAAAGTATATCAAAAAGTTTAAGGCAAAAATTGGACGAGTTTTGTTCTAGTATGTACAGGTATTCATTGTTTTTGAATAAAAAGAGTCAGTGATTAGGAACTCTAAGCACTGCTTGGCATAATATGCTGCAAATCGATGAATAAATCATCTGTTTATTCATGAAGGGATAACGTCTTTTGATCTAGGAACTTTAAACTACAATAGCGCCTTCGTCAAGACAACAGATATGAAGTCGACTTAAAGCATCACACTTGTGGTTCACACTACTACAGGATACAAATGTATAACAATACAAACTAGATATGTCTATGGCAAAAGATGATATCTACATCAACACATAACATAACATCACGCCTTATATCCCCGAAGGGGTACGCAGAGGTGCACATTACGGCACTTAATGCCACTTGTAACTATTTATGTAATGAGTCCCATGTAATAGGGGGTGAGCCTATTGCCATATACCGCGCACGATTCCAGACACCGTGCTACTACTGAAATTTTTTTAAAAACCCATTAATACTTTGGTGTTTAGTACTCAACCTTCTCCATGTGAGAAGAGGCCTTGGCTCAACAGTGGGCATTTATAGGCTGTTGATGATGATGATGATGAATACTTTGCACGACCCGGGCATCGAACCCGAGACCCCCTTGCGCGGCTGTCGCACTTGCGACCACACGGCCAATGAGGCAGGCATCTAAATCAACGTCTTAACAAAATATTCTAAGTCAATACCAACTTTATTCAAGTTATTCTTAGCAACATCATACTAGACAGTATGCAATAATGTGTTATCCAAACATCGAGCGGCAATCGAGCGCGGCTGACGCGCGCGGCTTGCAGCCCTGTGATTGGACTATAGCCGCGCACGAACATGTAGCTGGGAGACCGTCTGCGGTGCAGTATGAGGTCGAAGCAGTGCTACAAAATACGGAGCCGCTTTCATTGTGGTTTGAATAAAAAGTGAAAATAAAAAGTGCAACGTGTCTCGGACTGAACTGCCGCGCACCTTGCACGCCGTTTTTGGACACACCTTTACGCGAAGCAATAGCTGAAAATCTTCAACAGGCTAGTTGATAGCGAACCTTAACTTAAATCACTGGAAGAACAATTAAGTTTGAAGTCATATGACACAAGAAATGCTTAGATCAATGTATTTTTGTATAATATTGAACTCAAAGCGGTTTCTACATCTGGACCGTGAAGGTTTATTAGTTCTTTACATAATTTGTAACGAATCTACATTCTACTAAGCAAGTCTACATAATGACGTCTTCTAATTTAAATCACAACAACAAAGTCAGAATACGTTATTGTCTCTATTATTGTAACGGGAACTATAAAGCGTTATATAACTACGAAATTACAATGATTTATATAAGGACGCCTTTCCTGTCGCCCCTCATAAAGTGTGAATTTACGTTGGACGTTGATGCACTGCTCAGTTTCACGTCTTGAGGTCTATCACTGGAACCGCGCTTTTCTTTCGACATCTGTGCAACCTAAGAAGAGAAAATAAATGAAAAAATTATATTAATTTCCTAACTCATCTGTTAAGTAAAATTTTACTTATTTGGGCATTCGGTAGCATCAATTTTGTAGTCTAAAACATAATAATCAAAGACTACACAGCATTGACAAATCTAAATACATTGTTATCATAAAATGTTACATCATCTTTTTCAAAAGGTTTTTCCCAGAAGCAAATTGTTCAGAACTAATTATGTAGGTACACGCATTGAAATTATTTTCATACCAAAATTTACATATGAATATCGTTCTCACAGAAAAAATACTAAACATATAATTGTATCTCTGAAATATATTTAATTTTTACTTTACTTCCATGTTAATAAGGTTTGTTTATGAATGAAACGCGACAATCAACATTTCTACAAATGTTTAAAGTAAACTAAACTTTATAAATAAGACTTTAAAGCTAATTTTCCAATAAAAGTAAACTACTTACAGCATCGTCGATGGCTTTGAACTGCCAGTTCCAATGTACTCGGTATAGGAACGGTCTATGGTCGAAGCGGTTGTCATCAGGACTATAAGTCTCCGCGTGATACGAAGGAGTTAGGACAGTCATCTTGTGACGGTTGATGGCGTAACAACGGAAGAAGTGCTTTACTTTCTCTGCCACCTGTAACCGTGTATGAATTAATTAAAGCTTTAATATTTTTGAGTAAGCCTATAGCAGGTGTCACAAGCTCGATAAGGAAGTCAGTAAACAAAACGAATGTGAATAAAAATCCATAATTAAGATCCTCCATCATATTTTTAGAAAGATCATGCTAGCCTCCATCATATATTCAATTTACTCGTGTAGGTACTGTATTAGACACCACTGACAAACGGTGAAAGGCAACATCGTGAGGAAACCTAAGCTTATAATTTCTAATAGCTAATAATTTCTAATAGCTAATAATTTCTAATTGTAAGTTTGAAATTGCCAACCCGCATTGAGCAAGCGTGACGATCAATGCCCAAACGTTCTCCTTGTGAGAAGAGGCCTTTGGTTAGCAGTGGCCACTTATAAGCTGTTTTTGATTGATTGATTGACTCATGTAGTTTACTAAAACCATAATTTTAATTTTATGATTTAAACTTATTACAATAAAACATACTTAAAATGCAAAAAATAGTCATTCGCCCGAATACTGAAAGGCTACTTTAAGTTGTACTCAAGTATCGTGTCATCTCTGTCATTTTACGAAGAATTTGTAGGGACAGAACTATACTGGTCTAAGACTAAGGTCTGGCTAGAGGAGAATACCCATGGCATTAAGCCCACCTTTTACATTAGTGGGTGCATGAAGACTTTTAAAATAAAAAAAAATTAAAATAAAATATGAAGTATACTTAAGCGCTATTTAAAATTGAGTAGCCCTTCAATATTCGGGCGATTATAGCCAAAAATCTTACCTCATGCGGCGTACACTTATCACTCCACGTGTGCACTAGTTTATGGAACATACTAAACGGTCCACAATGCTGTGTCTTCCTCAGTCTACCAAACTCAGAGAGTTCTGCATAAGTCATGCCCATATCTTGTTCGTCCGTCTGCGTGATCTGACCGTCCGCTAGGGGCTCCAGTTCTGCTGTAGGAGGCGCTTGTAATATCTCCGACAGGGATGGCAAGAAGAATCTGGTGACATTAATGTGAACGATGTAAGGTTCTAATCTCATCGGCTATATTTTTATATCATATTATTAAACAATGTTATGTAAGAACTAGCTGTTGTCCGCGACTTCGTCCACGTAGAATATGAGTGTTAGTACATAACCTATTTTTATTTCAATATTCCAACATAAAAATAGCGTATGTTACTTCTTATTACATTAGCTACCTGCTAGTAAAAGTCCCGTCTAAATCGGTTCAGCCATTTCAGAGATTACCCAATACAAACAAACAAATCAAAAGTGAAACTATTTCTCTAAAATAAAAACAAACAAAAAACGACCTTATTCTCACCTATTCTTAGCATACTGTAGGAACGACTTGAGATCAGTCTTCGATATGCCACCAATAGGGTTTACATCGGCACTGGAGCAGTCGTACTTGGTCATGTATCCACGTAAGGCTTCGTCCACGTTGGAGGATCCTAGTACTAATAGACCACCTGGTCTGCCGCGCACCCAGAGCATTAGTTGCGCGAATAGGTAGGACAAAACCATGCGGAGACGAGCCTAGAAGGAATATCATTTACTTTTAAAATACAGGTCTGTGAAGTTTGACTAAGTGAAAAAATAAGTATTTGCGCTTCTCCACATTGTTGCTCTACCAGAAAGTTGTTATATTGACAAGATAAGAGATGTATGCGCATGCGCAGGTGACTTGTTTTTAAGTTTTAGTTTCGAAATAATGCTAGGGAATAAAAATATACAAGACTTTTATCGCTACTTTTGGGAATTTTAATTAAACAAAAGTTAAAACAGTCATTAACAGTAAAGTTAAACCAGTTGTGATTAGAATCTCATTTCAAATATTCGTAATGAACATACCTGTATATTCTGTAAAGCTAGATTCTGCCTCGGACAGCCACCCTTAGTTCTAAATTTCGGTACGAAACCAGTAGCGCTAGTGAATATACCAATAACTGCACTCACTGCTGCGTCTATCACTATCGGAAAGTGATAGCTACCAATCTCGCTGGCCAACTGAAAATGAATATAAATAAAGCTCGTACACCATTAAATCGTAATAACTTGTTAATTAATTGTAGCCACAACAGCAATAATCATGGATAGTATGCGTGTTATCGGACGCAGCAAGCATCGCGCTACCAACCGATTACTCGATTATAGGCCCCTATTATACCTCGAAACTTGTCGAGTACCATCACAGTTTCGTAAGTATTAATTACCTGTATTAAATAGCTATTTTGAGAAAATTGTTAAGACCTCGTTATAATCAGTTAATCATTACAATAACCAAGCCAGATCTAATAATGCATTGAAGACCCACCTGTGAAGCTCGTTGTTTAGTTTCCTGGCTAGAATTCTCCGAAGCCATATAACAGGTCACTAGTAACCGATTACACAGCTCCATCGGATCAGACGGCGTGTAGTCTGATTGACAAAGGATTTTCCGAACATCGTACAGCACTTGACTTTCTGAAAACATCAACCAATACAATCAGACTTCTGTTATCTAGTAGCTAAGTTAAAAAACGCATTAATCTTAAAATGTCCTTACCTCCTTTCTGAATAGCATCACATATCTGTGTACACATAGAAAAAACTATGCAAGCAGTACTGGTAGAATCTACTCCACCACTCAACGGTAAAAAGAATCCTCCCTGCCCTGATCTTCTCAGGTAGTCCCATAGCCAACAAGCCGGCCCTAGAAAGAAGACACATTAATTAAACACGAAAATGAAGATGAATTTTTGTTAGAAAACAAATCTGATCATCATCAACTTTCAATCATTTCTAACGAAATAAAACTTTGTAAAATAAACGTACTGTAATTATCAACTGTAAACTAAACTAAGAAAGTTTAAAATCTATCAACGAAAGATAAGATAAGAAGCTTTACAGGCTGCAAAATTATTGTCATTTAAGCCTATTAATCTAAGCAAATATATTCGGTATCAATTATTGAACTAATATACTAACCTAGTTCAATTTCTTCCTCCGGTGTTAAATACTGCCACTGTATGGGCGGACTAGTAGTAAGATACACGTCTTCGTCATCTGATAGTGCGAAGTCAACTGTGATGCGAGGAAATGGCGGGTTGGAAGCCGCTAAATGAGATCGGGAGCGGATCTGCGTCCGATAGGAACGAATATCTTCGAGGTCGATCGTTGCTGTTACTACTTCCTGTAAAGCAAGGGATTCGGATATAAGTTTCATTAAAAATAAATTAGATCTAATAGGCATTCATTTAGAGTATGTTTTTGAATGGGCAAGAAGACCCAAACTAATATAGCCTCGTGCATCTATCGTTATGTTTCTACCGCTTAAGATTATAAGCTACTTTCTGTTAACAATGGAAGTATTAAAGAATTTAAGGTTAACTGAGGTGTCGTCTTTACATTAGAAAAATACTAACCACATCGTGCAGAGCAAACTGCAGTCCTCTACTAACAATCTCCCCATTAACAGCCACACAGGAACAGCCATTAAAATATATCCTCTGACCATCACATCCTCTCAGATTACTAAACAAATACGCGCCCCCACTCTTGAAGGTGGCACTTTTGACTAGATCCACTGTGACGTAAGCCTTGCGTAGTTCCATGTAACTTCCCGAACCATTCGCTATGATCTCCACACCATCCAAACCGAGAGGAATGTGGCGACTGGAATAAGATTTTTTAGAACTTTATGTTGTTATTATACAGATATAATTAGTATTTTATTTTAATACTAGCTCTTCCTCAAAGCGTACGCGTATAGTACTTTAACCTTTCTCAATAATCAATTAATCTACTAAGAAAACCTGCATGAAAATCCGTTTAAAACTTATTAAGTTTCTGTTAGATACTAATTTAGATAAATAAATCAAGTTTTTTAATAACCATGAGATTAAATAGTTTAGTCACGCCTCTCTTACCTCTGCGGATTCCATAATTCTTCACAAATTTCAAAACCTATACACGTATCTTTAGTCGCAATGACAGCATCACCAATAGGCACCGTCGACTGGTTCGTTATCGCCGAAATCATCCTAGGTAAATAGTATTCTTCAGTCTGTCGTTCCTTTGTGAACAATTACAAATACAATTTAGCTCTTCTAAATCTAAATACAATTCTTCGAAGCCACTAAGCAGAGGTGTTTCAATTTTAACTTTATTTACAAACCGTTTAGGTTGAAAATAGCAAAATCGTGTTCAAAGCTTAACTAACTACTTTATTCTTACTCACTTTGGTCCAAGGCGAAAACCACCTAGATTCTCTATAATTTCCATCTTCACATAACAACATCTTTGGTCTAATGAGAAGAATCTTCTTGTTCAGGAACGCTACCCGGCAGTTGTATAGTACGTTTCTGTGTTGAACGGGCATACCGACATCGATCAACATGTCCTTACATGTCGCAGATTTGAGGAGCTCTGCGAGCACTTGCCAACTGTGGAGACATGTGTCTGGCTCGTAGAAATGGTCCTCACAGCTGTACCCACTGGAAATGAACCGCAATGAGGTATATAAGTGACCATAATATACTTATTCAAATACAACCACCAGAGTTTTGATCAATTATCAACTTAGTTGAAAATTTACTAGAGATATTTGACAAAGGAAGCTTGATTTCCTTTTGTCTGTATTAGATTATCATGACTTGTTTCATAATTACCATATTTCTAATTCCGGTCCAGTCCGATACAATGCTCCCATTTCCTTAGCCTCCTGTATGGACTGCAGAATCCTATTCATATTCCCTTCGAAGTCCAGCGCCCATTGGTTCAGCGTCGTCACCGCCACTGTCACTTTTCGACCCATGGCTGCAGATTCTTAATTTACCTTTAAACAAAGAAAAAGAAGTACGTACATAAATAATCTATTTGACAAAGGTGATGTATTTTTAGGTTATTTAATTATCATTTGGTTCTCCCTCTGTATCTGCATTTAAATAACTATTGTATACGTATACGTGGGTATCGGTAACATGCAAAAACTTGCACTTAAAAACATGCAATACAACACCCAGAAATTGTTAGACATTTACAAAATACTGTCTAGAAGACGTAACTACAAATAACTCGACTGTAGTACACTTTTAGTAAGACTACATTACTATTACTTAGTGTTTAACTTGTTCAAAAAATAGACCTAACTATAGGTAGGTACTGTGTTTTCAATTGTGGTTTTTAAAACTCGTATCAATCAATGTCGAAAACATACACGCTCGGAATTCTTTCCTAACTTTTTGACTACATAACAAGTCTATGAATTCTTCAAACTTTGTACACTATAAGGAAAAACTGCTGTGAACTGTTCTAGTTTCCAAACCACACTTCATTAAAATATCTTTATGCCATAACAATAAATACGGCACTATTCTATCTATTCTTCTAATATAGAGATGGGGATTTTTAATACCTTGTAATATACACCGAATGAAAATTATCGTTACGCATACGAAGAGCCAAAGAGTGATTAACGAATTTTGAAACTGATCACCTGATTCAAATTAAGGAATTACGGATATCACGGCTCTGAGCTCAGATTTATGAAAAACCTGTATTAAACTATTAGCACGATTCATTTAACTATCTGTGATAAAGTTAATCCTTAGCCTGTATGCTTCAATCACTCTGATGCGTTCATGTCAAATAGAATACCATGATCGCTTGCTTATGAATTCCATTCGCTTCCATTTTTCTTTATTATTCAAATGCGTATTACTAAAAATACCGAAGCAATACTAGTGATTTACTATTGTTTCTATTAAACCTCATGGATGTTACAAATTGTATGAATATTCACGAAACATAAAGTCGAAGCCGACGGGCGATTGATGAATGACAAAAGACCATAAGATAGTCCGTCTAGAAGGTAATCGATCCGCGCCAGGCAGTGCCAAGGCCCGGCCAATCACCCCGCTACCCTTACAAGACACATAGTTCACACATCCCTATAGTCAACAGCCTGTAATTGAATAACGTAATTGATTACGTTTTAACCCTAATAAGAACGACTTTTTTAAGCCATGTGAAGATTATATCAATTTGTCATGCTATTTTTAAATAGAAGTATGAAGTATGTCTTCTGTTAAAAGGTACCATATTGCCTCATGAGACATGGTATTATAAGCTAGCAAAACTTTTTGATTGTTGTGCATGTTCATTGCTTTTATTGTTTCCAAGAATTTTTCAGTGTTGTATCTTTTATGTCGGAAGTTATAAGCACCGTAGTAAGTAATGTTACTAAAATAGCGACTTGCAAAGAAAAGATAGTTTATGGCGCCTACAATATTCCACGTAAGTGGATATCATAAAATAGTTCGTATATTTGGTACCATTATATTTCTGATTTCCAAAGAATATTGCTGCCGTCGGAATTTCTTACGTATTTCATATTACGCATATTCAATTCAAATAGCTTAAGTGTTGTCGAAAAGAGTTCATAGCGTGAGTTCATGGCTAATTTTACTTTCATTACCGAAGTTCGTAACCATTTCCAATAATATTGTACAAATAGTTTCGGTAGCTGGAATCGGTAATGAAGGTGTTCTACATATTTTAACTGGAAACTTCATACTGCTGACAATTGATAGGTAGCTATTACCACTTCGGTAGTAAGACAACTATACAATCGAACTAGACATATCGATAGTTTGCAGCTAATTCAGTGTCGTCGAATAACATTCCAATAGATGAACCTAATCTAACATATCCCTATATATCCCTTTGAAGCTTGTAAAATCTGTAAAACGTGTAAAAGTATACATGTTATTTTGTATGTAAAAATAGAATATAAAAATATTTTATGAAACCTGAAAAGGAAACCATTTTCAAAAAGTATAATCATACTCCAAAGCTGTTTTTATTCATGCATAAGTAATTAATTAACTCATGCAGTCTCAGATTCGACTAGATGAAAAAAAGATAAGACGAAAATAATCTACAAATAATCTAATAAGATAACATGCAATAAGACAACAGTGTCTAAATAACAGTATACAGAAACGATAAATCTTACCAGTAAAAATCTGCAAATCTGCCTTCGAGCAGTATGATCGATTTTACATACCGAGTAACCAAGGCAACTCGGTGTACAACTTTATAGGAGTACGCGTACCCTGATGGTATTTTCTAGTGGTTTATAAAGTCCTCATAAAATGTTGTTTATATCATGTATAATTCTGTCTTACAACTCTTAGGAAAGGTCATTATCAAACCTGGAGATATTTCGTTAATAATGTGTATTACATAATTTATTATTCGAGCTAAAACACCTAATCTTACCTACATGAAAACAGAAAATGGTTTCGTAACTAATCTGTAAGATAGGCTTATAATAATTATTTAACAGAGCCACTAATATTATAATATTAGTGGCTCTATTAAATATTTAGTTTCTACTAGAGCTCGAAATAGCGAAATTGGTACAACAACTCAATTTCTGTTAATGGATCAGCGCCGAAAGTTTACCAATTTGTTAGTATAAATACTTTGGAGTTTAGGCTTTCAACTTATCAATAAACATTATAGTACAGCGAAATAAAAGGCATTTAATAAATATCTACTGTTTGCTATTTTTATCTCTGACGATTTATGTAAACTGTTTAGGTTCATACTTTATTAGTTTTTCAATATTCGTCTCGACGGTAAAAAACGTACCGAACGTTTTTGTACGGGTCGTGTCATTGACTTTTCAAATATTGCTTTCTCCGAAAAACAAAAAAGAATAGGCAAAAGCCAGACGACATAGCAGCAATAAATATTATTGCCTAATACTGACGACCACGCTACCGTACATTACGGTAGGTAACTGCAGTGATTAATCCTGACAATACGAAATATTTGCCATTAAAACTTCTATTACAATAAATATCAAACAATTCTTAACTTCCTAACCATAATCATTTGTTTGGTTGTCACGCTTTTGTTTACTTCTAAAGCGCCGAAAAGAATGTAATGATTTTGGTACAGAAGTAAAAGGGACTGAATAACTAAATTAGGAAGCGTAAAATATCGACATATCAATATCTAAGTTGATTTTGATTGAAAAGTCATATTGGGTCACTTGAGACTTATCTTATGTATTTCTGAATAGTCTCACAAGAGATGACCTTGGTTTAACATCGAAATATTTTCGATTGACTGTTTGAAAAAGTGATCGCTACACGGGAGACGATACACGCTTTGCATACTGAATGTCAAAACATGCCAGTTTCCTCCCAATGTTGTTCATTCCGCGATTATGTTGAAATTTTTTAACTACAAAACCCGCGCATGCATGGTGTCATAATGATCCTGAGTTTTCCAAAATCCTGTTAGGTTCAATTTTGATTTTTCATGCAAATGCAATAGTATTACTACTTGCTTCCGAATCTTACTACTTTGTTTATGTACAATTTAAGCCATGTGGGTAGTACACGTTTCCATGCATGTTACGTTAACGACGCTTTAATCACTTTATTGCAAACGAATAGCTAATAGGTAACTGGGTAGGTAACCTTTTCTTGGGCACATGTATTAGAGCTACCAAACAGATTAGAGGCTCCCGGTTAAATCCATAAGAACTAGTGTCAATGTAGTGGTTTTCTCTTTGGTGAAAAAATTACTGAGTGATATTAGGTACTTACCTACAACAAAAACATGTTTAAAACATTGAATAAAAGTAGCAAAAATAGTTAAGGACCTAACATGAAATTAAATAACTAGGGTGTATCACATTTCACTTAGTATCTGTGTACATCTACCTACCACTACATAGTTTTTTTTTTTAAGGGGGGAAAATCATCGAATGACTGCTCCCGCCTGGGTGAGGCGGAAGGGAGTGTCAGACTCTTACTGACTAAAAACCACCCCGTTCCTTCTCCTGCACGTCGAGCCGGAGCCCCGGTTACCCGTTAGGTTCTCCACGACTACCACTACATAGTTTAGCAGCTATGAAGTCTTCAAAGGAAAATCTATCTATTCGGAAGTCTACAAGGACGTTCAAGTTTACAATCAATCACGGAAGTTTTCCTCACAACCGCCACAAGCTACCGCATGCTTCGTAGAAGTGCAGTCACCTTTTAAGCCTTTAGCGGATACGTTATCACAAGTAGTCAAGGTGAGTAATCCGAGGACTAACCTGTCAACTATATTAAGTTTGGTGAAATACAAATCCGCGTGCAGATAAATTTGCCAAATTAAAAACTTAAACACCTACTTTCATGCATATTATACGTGCTTATTAGATCGCCATGCACAGTTTTAAACAGCTAAAACCATACCCTATGTAACCACAGGCAGACTAGTCTAGACCGAGGTGCCGACTGGAATTTATATCAGCTAAGCACCCCAGACAGGCACACGCCTACGTAATCCGATAACAATGCGCATTTTATGGTAATTAGAACCTTCTGTATTCCGCTAAGCGACTCAATTTGCCATCACACCGCCATGGGTAAAAGTAAAGAGATGGAAGCTCCCAGTGATAAAGGAAAACAAACACAGGGCAGTGATCAAGGTACGTAATTTAATTAGGCATATGACCTATGCCAATAGGTTGTTTTTTATTGTATTTTTTTCTCGTTTTAAGTAGGTATTCAATAGTACCTACTTAATATTATTTATTAACAAGATGTGATGAAAATAATAAACCCTATAAACGATTAGGTACTAAATATTATTCTAGCAAATCTGAGCAATAAAACCCTTATATCGTCGTGACTCATGACTTTCATGAACTTCCACTTGATTGCTTTTATAAAGCACTATAAATCAAATCAAAGTTTGACCTCTATCAAAGGTTTCCGACATCGAAATTTCCATAATTCAACATCGAATTTCGCATGAATAACCATTTGACGTCACCAATCACCTGATAAGCTTTATACGGTCGAAGCATGACATTACTAGGGCAATCGTCTTCCAATAAACGAAAGCGAGTACCCCTGTTTTTGATGTCGTCAGTTCAGTTCGGAGCGCCGCGCAACCCACCAGGTTACACGCCAAAAATTGAAACTTGACGACTAACATTCAAACGATCGTGTAGCCATGGTGACGAAACGCTCGACATCGCCGATTACAGAAATACACATGACAAAGATTAATTTGTGCTAGCGAATAGCTCATGCAGCTGTTCGTAAACTTTCCTAACATGTTATGGTGGAAACAACTCGAAAGCGCTCAAGAGAACATAATGATGATTGAAAGGGAAGAACAAAGAAAGGATTTCATTGAAAAAACGACGGTAACCCTTACACTTCCTTCGATAAATCCCGTAATGCAAGATGAAATGTTCATAGCAAACATAGAGCAAGTTAAATCGCTACAAGCTTCGTTATTTCCAATATGCAGTAAAGGTAAATTATATTTCTGACAAGTGAAACGTAGCGAAAAAACTTTTAAATTTTCTTTCCAGTAATTGAGTTGTTTACCCACTAGGTACACTAAACTTTACAAAGTTAATCACGCTCCGCTACTTCGTAATTATAGTTTTCTGAATACCAGCCAGAGTTAGTCCTAAACACAAAGCCTACTCGGCATTGTTCAATACTTTGTTTATTTTAATGTTTTAAAATATTTTCAGATAATATGAACTGAACAAACATTTAAATGTAGTTGCGTGTTTAACAATGTATGTTTTCAATGTAGGATCCCTTACATAATTTCCGGTTTTATCTAATTCGGTTGTGGGACTCGCGTGCTTAGTGATGTTATTTGTGAACATAAAATGCCTTTAAATACGCAACCTGCCATTAATGCTATGAGCGACGGTTTCATTTCAAGTAAAGTAGGTCATAATAAGTAGCTAGGAACATACTATAACTACCAACCACAGGTTGCAACATTATTTTTCCTAGTAATTGATTCATATTCTCTTTTTAAAACTTCAATCGAAAACACCGTAGTGTTCCAGTTTGGATTTGTAAATAAAATATTTAATGCGATTTATTTTACGCAGGGACATTCATCTCGAACTTTCTACAAAACAATATTAAAACCAATCAGTTAGAAATAAATACAGACATAAGAACATTCCGGACAACAGCAAAATTAAAAGAACCAAGAGACTTGTTCGCACTTCCAAAAGAGCTTGATTGTCCTCAACAAGCTCCTCGATGGCCCACAGAATGTCAAGTAAGTGTTACTCGGCCAGCCAAAGAATGTTTGACTACTTTCCGTACATGGTTTAAATGGAATTCTATTTATTCCATTATTTTTTGTATTGTAATGTAAGATTCTTATAATTCTTACTCCTATAGATTTCTATCATTGGTGCGTTCGCTTTGAATTAAAATCTAAAGTAATAAGGACAGAACAACAAAAGTATAATAATTGTAAAACGTTCATTAGGTAGTAGAAGAAAAAATTCAACATATTATATGGAGCCCCGCATCTCCTGAACCATATTACATATCATCAGGGAAAGAGTTACAACCACAGCCTGTCGGTGAAGATGCAGGAACAGTTATCTTTCAATATTATCCAATGAGTGCCGTCAACTATGTAAGTAATTACACACTCATATCTGGCTTCTAAGTTAAAGTTACTTATTTATTTATGTTTTACAGTTCAGTCGCTCCACTGTCGGAGGATCGCGCTTATATTTATCAGCGTGCGCAAGTGCCGGAGGGGAAGATGAACTAAGATTTGAATCTCGTTTCGAAAGTGGAAATTTAGCAAAAGCAATCCGCATAACTTCAGCATATTATGAACTGCATCTCCGCACTGACCTTTATACTAATAGGCATATGCAATGGTTCTATTTCAGAGTCACGAACACAAAAAAGCAAATGACATACAGGTAATACTGGTTGCATGATCACTCGACGTTACGTGATGTTTCCTAAAAATTATACACACGCAAAATGTTACAGATTTTCCATAGTGAACTTATCAAAAGCCGAAAGCTTATACAACGAGGGCATGCGACCTCTATTATATTCAACCAAGGACGCTCAGTTGCATTCGATCGGCTGGAGACGATGCGGTGATAACATCGCTTACTATAAAAACGATTCATCGTGAGTAATTAAATATTTGAAATGCAAGTAACTATTAAGAATCCCATGACGATACATTGCAATCTAATTACAGGTCGGAAGAAGAAGAGCAATTTCCAAGTTACACGTTAACTTTCAATATAGAATTCCCTCACACCGATGATGCTGTGTACATTGCTCATTGTTACCCATACACTTACTCCGATTTACAAGAATATCTATCTAAATTACAATCTCATCCCGTCAAATCAACGTATGCTAAACTAAGGCTACTTTGTAGAACATTAGCTGGGAACAATGTATATTATCTAACTGTAACAGCTCCACCGAGTTCTTGTGAAACAGAGCAAAAGGTAAAATATCTCATTTTTCTCATTGTTTGAAAACACTAATAAATAATAACTTCAAGTACCGTTTGGTTCAACAGAAAAAGAAAGCAGTTGTTATAACAGCAAGAGTTCACCCGGGTGAAACTCCTTCATCTTGGATGATGAAAGGTTTTATGGATTATCTAACTGGAGATTCGAATCAAGCTCGTGAATTAAGGGAAAAGTTTATATTCAAACTCGTACCAATGTTGAATCCTGATGGAGTGAGTGAGAATATATTTAAATAAAATATTTGCATCGTGAATAATCATGACACATTACATTTTTTCTATCAATGCAGGTAATCGTTGGTAACAATCGATGTTCACTGACCGGAAAGGATTTGAATAGACAATATCGAACAGTTATACGGGAAACATATCCACCAGTCTGGCATACGAAAGTGATGATACGGAGGTTAGTAAGGACACAATTTCCCCGAATTCTCTTGACATTACGGTCAAGACATTTCGGGATATTATCTAATCAATTATTGTATAACAGACTACAGGAAGAATGTGGTGTAGCAATGTATGTCGACCTCCACGCACATTCCCGAAAACACAATATATTTATTTACGGATGTGAAAGCCGAAAAACTTCTGACAAACGTTTACAGGAACAAGTTTTTCCTTTGATGCTTCACAAAAACGCGGCCGATAAGGTATACCCCTAATTCGTATTTTTAGATAGTCGATCGTTATCACATGGCAATGCATTAATTGAGATTAAGCGCTTTCTTTCAGTTCTCATTCGAAAACTGCAAATTCAGGATACAACGCAGTAAGGAAGGCACTGGCCGGGTCGTAGTTTGGATGTTAGGAGTCTCTAATAGCTACACAATGGAAGCATCTTTTGGCGGTTCCGAATTGGGAAGCAGAATGTCAACACATTTTTCTGTTCAAGACTATGAAAGTCTAGGAAGAACATTCTGTGAGACGTTGCTTGATTTTTGTGATGAAGATCCTAGTAAAGAACGACTAAGAACAAAAATTGTCACCAGACTCTTGAAAGAAGGATCAAATGCAGATGAGCCAACAAATATTGATTTATCAGACTATTCAAGGTAATTGATATTTTGAGATTGGGTGCCGGAAATGCGCCTAAAAGGTGGAGCATACTCTTAAATTAAAAAATAGACATGAATATTTAAACTAATAGGTACGACTCATTTTCAGTGATGAAGGAGACACGTCGAGCAGTAGTTCTGAAGGTGGACACAGAAGAGAATCAACAAAACAGCCCGCACCGCCACCTTCACCGATATTTCCCGATATCAATAAAAATTTAAATGAGGTACGATTTTCTATACGTAGCAGAAGCTATGTTTTTATAATAACATACTAAATTAACTTAAATCTAAAATTAGTATATTCACGTGAGAAACAGGAGCTTTCGTCTATTAGCGAATTGATGTGTAATAATAATAACGAAATTGTTCTTTGCAGAAAGCAAGAAAACCACGGCCGAGACTAGAAAAGATGAAACGAATTGAAAAAAAGAAAACGAAACGGGAAACTTTACAGGTTCGAAATATTAGACAATATAAATCAACTGCCCTTCTGTGCCCCCCAGTTAATGACGTTTTTACTACTTCACAGGTATCTCGAGCAACAATAGATTTAACATCAGACGCCATGACGGACATGTCATCGGATGCTGAATCGTACGACGGGAACCACAGTCCTATGAGAAGAGTTCAGAAACTGATACACTCATCAATGAAAGTCAAACCAAGACGGAAGAAAAAAATGCCACCTGAACTCAAAATCGTAAAAGCACAGGTAACCTTCAGTTTTATGGAATTTTACGTAATTGATTAACTAATTCGACCTTCGCTTTTCTTTGAAATACATGTAATTGTTGAAGGCTATATAGCATACAGTACCTAGTTGTGTATGCAGACAGATCTACTATCTATTTATGTTTAGCGGTGTCACGGTTGCGTTTACAAACACATCACACCCTTTTAGCTTCTTCTGTAAATCGAATCCATAATACCAACCCTTTTACTCCAACGTCTGTCGCTATGTTTCAGACAAGTGATTCGCCTTATCATTCCGATCATGAAAAGGCCTTGAAATGTAGACGACCGAGAAGTGTATCAATGTTTAACGAAACCACAGAGAAACCGAGACTGAATCCCGCATCATGGCACCAATTTAGGTGTTTACCACCAGCGAAGTAAGTATGTCACAAATTCTATTTCATAACTAGACTATTCTTAATGAGATTGATGAATTAATTTTCTAGCCTGATGAAAATAAACTTAAATGTTTTAACTTAGTCATCACATTTTTGCAGTTTCTATTCAAGTTTCTGCGAATTATAAGTATTTTCTAAGACCAAAATTGCCATAAGTTAGAGCTGATTCATGATTCACCTCACAAGAAAAATGTTCAATACTCTATATTTTCAGATGCTTGTCGGAAGTAAAAACTAGAAGTACTCAGCCATCTGAGCTACAGGTCAAGTTGAGTACTCTTAAAAGAAATGTGTGGACAGGAGTTCAAACTGAAGAAAAAGGTCCACTGTCATGGGGCATATCAAGTTTTGCAATGAATTCATATTTTACTGACAGTGAAGCATTATTAAGGTTGATGCTCAACATTTTGTCAAGTTATTACTCAATGAATTAAAACAATATTTGACTAAATCATTGTAATCAATTTCTATATCAATAATTTTCAGATCATGTTCCAAGAAACTAGAAGAGCTTGAGGGGGAACAACAGAAAGCTAAGGATGACAAAAAGAAGAAGAAATCCAAAACAAAGAAGCTTACACTTAAAGTGCCAAATTCATTGAATGATATCATAGAACCTATAAACACTAAATTACCTAAATCTTGGAAGAAAAAAGGAAAGTGAGTGCAGTATTTAATATTTTGTTTTTTTTTAATAACATTAGAAATCAGCTTCTCCAATAACCACTAAATCTTACTCCATCTTTTCAGATTAAAAAGTAAATCTGAAAGTTCTCCATACTTAAACAATACTAGTTTTACGGACATACCTCGGAACACCCAACAAGCACCGAAATCAACCCAGGCAGAAAACAGATTAGCTAAATCAAGATTCAAGAAAGGTGCCATAGTAACCACTGCTGTGCAGTCAAAAAAACAAATTGCCAAAGCTAATATTATATCCGACAACTCAGACTCGGACACTTCTATTCAACTAAGTAAAAAAATTAAAAAGAAAAATAAAACTGTTAAAAGTAAGTTTTGTAAAGCTATGTCTGAAAATAAATCTAAGAATTAAATGTTGGTTTTTTTTCTATTTACAACCCCAACATTAACTATGGAAATGTAATCTCATAGTTGTCGAATAATTATGGTCAGCTTGTAGCAAAATAATTTGTTAAGTTTTTATATCTGCAAATGAATAATTATATAAAGCCAATGTTTAATAGATGACATTAAATATTTCAATTACAAAAAACATTTTATTAAATAATCTATGTTGTGGCAATATTATGTTTCATTGTTTTTCCTTATAGTAGGTAAATTATATTTCAGTTTTAATATAATTAGAGAGCAAAGAAGTTTCAAGGAGCAAAAATCTAAAATGAATTTAAAATAGGAATTAACTCGTCGAGTACCGGTTTTATAGTCACAATTAAAGAACAATAGGTCGCGGTCACCGGTGACCGCTTGGTGTTTGACAGATTAAAATTACCTAGTTAAAAGAAAACAGAAAACTAAACATATATTATTTATTTCTTACTTTATCTAATGACCTTAAGATATATACATTTTCTTATCACTAAATAGTTATAGTATTGAAATAAGATAAGTTATTCATACACCATTCACAATGACTCTCCTAAACCAAATACTAATTAAAATAAAATAATAGATATTTAATTTAAAAATGCATAGAAAACATTACTTACATGTCACAGTGTACTCAACAAGTTGATTATCATTGATCATCTAATTCATTCTAAGAGCAAGGTATCTTACTTCAGCTTAAATACATAAGTTATTTATTAAAACTAATATTAATTAAGTAGTGTTACTACTTAATTCTCACTTTTACAATGTATTCAGGGAAATTTCAAGGACGATTAACCCCCAAAAATAATGAATTAGAAATTGTTTATTTTTAATATCTAGTTGTACGACTATTTATATTCTAGCCACTACTACACAGCAAAGGAGAAAATATATAATCGGTTCAATGGAAAGGAAACTTGTTTTAATGCAGCGTAAGACCCAGAACATAAAACTTTTAAAAATTCACAATAATGACAAAATCATTACTTACAGATTTGTGAATACTTATGTAGCACACAATACTTGATCGCGAGTATGCGTTATAACGTAACTATTTATCTGGGTGCCAATAATTCTTAATTTTTAAAACTTTGCAAAACATCGGTTGAATTATTTTCAGTTGACATTTATTTTGACAGTTTGAAAGTTTGACATTGTTTTGGCAGTTCTGAGTGTACTGTCAACTTAGCATAGATACTTGCCGGTAACTTGTGCTTGAATGACAACTTGCCCCTATCTTATTCCCATACAAGTGGCAAGTTATCATCACAGATTACTTTATACCTACTAGTCAGAGCGTTATCATTCAGTGTGCTGTGCATAGATATAGTCTTATCATATCAGTGGTGCTGTGTGGAAGATTGGAGGAGTAGATCCGGAGGAGAACCAACGAGAAGGCTTTTGTTTAGTAATTTATGTCGTCCTGCTTCTGCTGACGCTGACAGTTTAATGAAAGAATAAGATATTTTTATGCAAGAATCATAAAGCAAATAAAAAAATCATATTATTTAAAAAAATATCCTTTTATGATTTTCGTGTCGTAGTGGGCGCGTTGACAAACATACAAATTGACATACACATTTATTCCAGAACAGGAATAGGTATTGTTATTCCGAAAACCAACAAACATACGTAGGAAGCAAATAAAAATATGTTCACTACAGAAATCATCAGGAATCGAACACGTTGCGCAACAGGCGGTAACTCAGATACTGTGCTAACCATGGAATAGTAAAAACTAGTACTAGCTGTCAGTCAAAGGTATAATAATTAACTTCCTTCAAAAATAACATAAAAAAATCCATCATAACACGATCAGCAGTTCAGCACACATTTGTGAGCCAATTCGACTGCGTCAAATTGGTAGAAGCCGTGCAGAAAGAATTACTGACAGGAGTGTTGGCTGAAAATGCCAAAACTCTAAGATCTCCTGTTTCTGAAATCTGAAGAGCGTTGCTAACTCTTGTTCCAGAAGAAGTGTATCCAGGAAGTTGTGGTTCCCCTGTGATCGGATTAAATGTACCACATCTCGATTTTGCTAATATACAGGAAGTGACATTTCTATAAAATCGAACGTTATCTGCATCTATCGTTATATTCACACCCGTTCTAGCTTCTCTTGTGCATTGTGTAATCTGCAATGGAAATAAATAAACTTTCGCTTCTAATTATTCATGATAGGTATTTTTTGTTATTATAATATCGATCATAATACACACCAAATTAACCGAGTTAGCTGTTCGAAGACATCGAACAAAGTCACAGTAGCCCATGAAACATCCTGAAGGTTGCACATTTAATGCAGATGTAGATAGAGCCTGCAAAGTTAATAAAAAGGCATACCGATTGAAATACGTCAAACCTTGGAGTATTACAATCTGAGGCTGTACATTCAGCTAGGTAATAGGTATTTACTTACCATAAGTGCTGTGGCACATGCCGCATATGCGCCAGTAAAATATTGTACAGCGCAAACACTTAACGCGTTCAATTCTTGAGGTCCCTGTAAATATTTGTATAAAAAATTAGTTTCGTTTTAAAAATAGGTACTACGACACTGTGTGACGCCAATGTGCCTTTAACTAAAAAATATAACAAACCTCAGCCATCGATGTTACTTGCGAAAAACAACTAATACAAGCATCTCTCAGGGTGACGTTAGTAGGTTGCGACGTACTGCATACGATGTTCAATAAATTTTGCAGTTGCTGGCTGTAAAATCATTTCGAAAATATTCACGTGTTTGGAATTTCACCATCCTGTACATTTGTGCACAAACTCACCCGTTTGACGGACATAAAGCTTGAAGTTTTTGAGTTTTCCATTGCAATATCTTATTTTTTACATCACTGAAGTCAAATCCTCCACCATTTGTTGTAATTCCAATCTATTAAAAATGAGTAACATGGTATTGAAATATTTCTTAATAAATCTTCAAAGAAAAAAGAAATTAACAATCAGACTCTAACCTCACTGAGATTGAGTAAATTCTGGTTCTTCCATTGTAAAATACTTTTTTGAACTTCATTAAAATCGATTATAGTGCTATTTGACCCGATCTGTGGGACGAATGCAATTCATAAAGTCCTCGTTATCAATAAAATAATAATAACTAATAAATATAAACTAAAAGTACCTAATTAAATACATATATTACTAGGTGGAATCATAAATTGGGTACTCACAAAACATATTAATAAAACTCCAGACTGTATTTTAAACATTGTTTAAATAAGTAACGAAACATTTAACTTAAGGTTAAGAGAAAAACAAACGAGTATTCGGCTACCCAGCTAAACCGGTTTTGCCATGAACAAAAGCAACAATGTGACACATTATAACGAATGTATTGACGTTTAAATACTTTTTTACACAATTGTAATTTACCTACTGCCCGCGACAATTTTGCCCCATCCTTTCATGTGCAAACCACCGTGAAGCAGCGAAAGTGTTAATGGTCCATTCAAACGTAATAAAATTTGTATGAAGGTACTTGACTAACTTCCAAAATAAGGTCCTTCTCTACTACCTACAAGTCTACAGAATAATAAATCCATTGAGTACTCCAAAGGTGGTTAGTAGATACGTAAAGATTACACAGTATTTTAGATTACAGCATTTTCCGATATACGTACGTGAATTTTCAATTGACCCTATTTAAAGAGTTATGCAGTTAGATCTCTCTTATAATTGAGGAGTACAAGTCACTGTAAATCTTTCGCAACGTGACGCTGATGTCACATGTGCCAGGTGTGTAATGAAGAAGACTGTATTAGCCAGAAAATCGTTTTACACTAGTAGCGGTACCTCATCTTTGTTCAAAATAGATTAATAGGAAACCAGAGTGAAGTATTGGAATCTGAAAAGTAAAACACTGTGATTATAAAGATAATTAAGACCGTAATCCATAATTTAGTTAAGTTTGCGGTGAAAATACTCCAATAATTGTGTCTGAAACAAATTGAAGCATCTGTTTATTTCAAATAATTATAATTTGTTGTATCTGTGAGAAAATCAATTTTCTTGTTCCATTTTCATCCTTCCATCATTGTCATTTTGTCAGTCATTTCATTCATTCATTCATTCATTCATTCTTCTTGTGTGACCGATGCAGCTTGTGACTGGCGGTGTTCGCATTTTCTTTAATTCTATTAATTTATTTTAATTTCTTTTTGTTTTATGATGATTGAAGGACGTGCAAATGTAAGTGAATAATGATCAGTTTATAATTAAATATAATAATAATACATCATTGACTATGTGGTGATAATGGTTGTTTCAACACTAACTTTCAGGAACTACCGGATTTTCAAGTCTTTCAGACGGTAATAAAGTACTGTTTGATCATTATTGTGGTCCCAGTGCTTTCATTCTTTACTGCGAAGAGTGTAATATTCGATGGAATTTTGCGACTGGAGCCTATTACGAGCAGTGTATACTCCGCTGTAGTTGCAGTCGTCGTTCTACATCTCACTCTCGGTCTTTACATATTCAAGGCATACTCCGATTCAGAAAAATCGGAAAAACCTGTCAAAAAAGACTAAATTTCTCAGTACTTTGTAGCCAACCTCATCACAAAATGGACAGCTTATACATGAAGGGTGAATTATTACAAGTTCATACTAAAAACAGTAAAATATATGAAGGCCGGTTTTATGGAATGACGAATGATAAGTCTAAGATTTCTCTTTACAATGTCAAAGAACCAAAAGGAGACCTCAGTGATGGCATTCTTCATTATTATGACTCTGATATAAGGGACATTGTCAAACTTAAGGAACCAGAAGAACAAAAGCATTTAAAAATATCAGAAAAAGAATGTGAAGAAATAATAAAGACTTCAAAAAAATACATATACATAAACCAAACTGATAAGATTTTCCATGATGCTATGGACGACCTGAATCAACATAATTTTATTGCATTAAGTACTGATGGTGCTAACATGGGAAGGAAATGTAAAATGCCAGTTTTGGTATTGTCTACACCTTATCAGATTTATATATTTGACATTCATGTCATGGAGTACCATGCATTTGACGCTGGACTAAAGAAACTTTTAGAAAGCGAGACTCCTAAAAAGATTATTCATAATTCCAGAAATGTATCAGATTGTTTGTTTCATAAACACAATGTTAAACTGAATTCGGTATTTGACACTCAGGTAATGTATCTATCTCCAAAATCTTAATTAAAATCACATTTTATTGATAAATTTAACTTTGAACATTTATTACAGGTTGGTGATCTACTTATCACTAGAAACAAAACAGGCCGCCTTCCAGATACAGTGAAAAGTCTAGCACAATGTTTGAATATTTATCTTGGCTTACAACTGTCTTTTGTTGATGACAAAGTAAGTATAGCACCTACAGTATAGATAGATGTTTCTTTTAGAAAAAAAAACTTAATAGAAATTACAATTCATACTATTTCTAATGTTGTTGTTTACAGTTTGGAGTAGTAGAGTGTTCTGCGCGCCCATTGTCTGTAGAGATGAAAGACAGCCTTGCGAAGAATATTGCATTCTTGCATCGTCTTTCAGAAGCAATCAATGAAGAAATGTTACTGCCATTTGTGAGAGGTGTTGAATGCTTTGTAGAAAATATTCGATCTCTGGATGATTTCAAAGCTTGGGAACGTTGTGGTATGCAAAATCAAATACCAAAGGATTTTAAGAGTGCAATTGAGTATTAAATGCTGTCTTCGACACATTCCGAAGGAGAACAAAACAATGTAGATCTAGATTTTTTTCTTTTCTTGCACATTTTGGTTTCATGCTTTTAGATTAGTCTCTTTAAATTACAGTATTAATCAAAAGTAATAAAAACATTGTAGCTGTTTACAATTAGATGTACACTATTTTAAAAGGGCATACATAAGTGAAATGGCTTCTTTCTAGTACATAAGTACTTGATATTATATTATTAGGGCAAGTGTTTGACTATGTGTAAGCTGCATATTATATTTCAGCTCATTAAGATTTGCAAATATTGAAACAGACATACCTACATGTTTGTTTCTATAAACATAACTTAAGTGTAAGCTTGTGTAATATCAGAAATAAACCAGCTTCTGTCTTAAATGTATCTGTGATCACTCAATGCAAGTGTCTGATAGGCTTTGAAATAGTCATAGATTATTTTTATATTTATGGGAAATGTCGAAGAAGTATCACATTTATTTCTTCTATTTATAATTCTCTAAGATTCAACTAATATATATTTTTTATGTAGGTTATATTAAAATATAATGTTTTGTCATATCTTGTCGTAAAATAATATAATTGTGTAATACCTTTGATGTAAGATTCGTAATATTTTGGGAGAAGGTTTACAGATGGTTTACTCATGGTGTGAATATGTGTGGGCTGAAATTGTCACTTTTATAAAGAAGCTTGCTTATGTGTTGTTCAGCGCCATGCTTTAAGTTTCAATAAAACCTATATGTGCTTGAATATGGTGTATTATTTTTAGTCCCAAGCTAAAAGAGGGGAGTTATTACAATAAAACTTCTTAATACATATTGCAAATAATTATAATAAACTCTTTAACATAATTAGCAACAGTAATAATAGTAGTGTTATCTATGAGGCTTCTCTTAAAAATAGGTTAGGATAAAATGCCAGGCCTTCAATAGACTCGTCTCGGCATGCCATACCAAGGCGTTCAGTCGTGAATAAGCGCTCGCGAGCTAGTAGGACGGAAACATTTGCAATTTGAGATAACTTCACAGGGGTCAGGTATCCATTATCTTCAAGCTAGAAAAATAAAAAAAAGTTATTGAAATCAAGTTCTCTGTCAAAGTTCATTACCAAATCTTCCAATGTAAAGAAAATAATATTACCAATTCACAGGTAGTCTTAGCCACTTCTTCATCCCTTTGACTATTTAGCTGAAGAACACATGCACCACTTGGAAATTTTCTAAGGGTCATAGGAGCACCAATTGTCTGCAACAATCTGAAAACAGAGTAAACAGATAAAAGATCTATATGACACTACTTGCAAAGAAAAAAATACACCTTGTTGTATACTTACTTGCAGGCATTTAAAAGATCTTCAGGGGATATGAGTTCCAAACCTCTGGCTCGATTTACTCTGCACCATACATCAGCTAATGACATTATTCCTCCACAATCCTATTATAAACAGAAAAAATATTAGTAATTTTAAAAATAGTAGCTTTATTTATAGCCAGCCACTATAACTTATTGAAGAGGTAAAGTTACCATGAGTACAGCAACCATCATGTCAGAAATCTGTTGCGAGAGTCCCAAATAATAGTCAGAGTCAGATCTAAATGCGTCTCTGGTCACTGGATCATCAATACCTAAGCTCATGAGGTAGGCTTTAAATCTAACTGTGTCATCTTCCGAGATATCACCTTGTTTGTCCTGTAAATAGGCAAATGGAGTAAGAAACAAGCAATATTGATTTTAGTCTAATTTTAGTTATATATTATGTATTTACCCTGATTTTAGTAGAAATATTTTTGGAAATCACTACCATATCTTTGGCTTTTTCCATAAGTTTTTTCAAATCCTGAAATGCTACGCTGATGCTTTCATCGGTAGCTCTGTGTTGTTCTTCTATACTTCTTTCAATTCCAACAATTCCAGAACGGATTTTAGAGTTAACGGGGGTTACTGCTGGTTTAAGGGATGCATTTGAGCTTGTTACACTCGTTGGTGAAGAAATAGTTGCTGGCCTTTCCCATGCTTTAGCAGCAACAGCATCAGTTAGAGCTTTATAAAATACTTGGTCAATTCCATCTTTGAAAGAAAATTTCACAAAATGGAATGGACTAACTACAGCAGGCCCTGGTCTTTTGCCTGAAATAGAAATAAATAAGAAGATATCAGCATAAAACATGTCACAAAACGTGTACATAATAATAATAGTTACAAATTAGTTATTACCTGGTAATGCAGGTCCCAAATGCAATATAATTCGTTTAGGTCCACCAAGACCAAATACTCCACCACTTTCCTCCTCTATACAAAAAACATAGTATAAATGCAGAGACAAGCATACAAGTCCCTTGGGTATATCTCCTGGCTTTCCCCACAGGATTCTGTGTGTGGTTAGCACTACTTCTCCGTCAGTAAAATGAGTCTGAAACAGATGAAAACGTTTAGGTATATCCCTTTCCCTTGGTATTTAGAAATGAGTTATAAGACAGCAGTATACTACTATTATATTGGCTAAAATATATTCTGTAACTCTTTGTATTTAATAAATTGGAATAAGGATAAGCCCCAAAACTTCAAAACAAACAACCTTATCATCACCGTCATATATCTTCACATTTTTATCACGTTTAAGGTAATTTTCACCGTCAAATAACCGAGCTTCAATATACTCAAACCTATCCATTGTGAAATATCATTTAAAATAAAATTCTTTTAGAGAATTTATATTATTTGGGACGATGAACAAATCGAAATTTACTATTGACATTAATTAGTCAATCTGACATCTGACATTTTTCTGATATTTCGTTTTTTGACGTGGGACAACGGATAACAATTCGTTTTTCAGATATTAATTTAAGGGTTTTGATAGTATAAATAATATATCCATAAATAATAACGTACATATAAAGTGTATAAATTATATTTCGTCATTTTTTAAATTAATTTTGCTGAATCTAGTTCCTGATGTGAACGAAAATTGGCAATGATTTGGCAACATTTTTCGTCGCAGTTGTCAAGACTTTTGTGACAAGTTGTCAATTTGTCAGCAGTGTCATTCACAAGTCACTGTCACATTTTGATGTTTTGTGTTCCAGTACAAAAATTCGAATACTGTTCTACATAAATGAACTAAATAAAGAAAGACATAAATAAAGACATTGCGTAGAAATAACGTTATCGAATGAAAGAGAAAGAACAAATTCATGCTGTATATTGAGTTATTTACTATCGAGTCATATAACCTACAATTTGTACTTTCGTAGTGTGCAAAATTGCTTGGTATTTGTCGATTGTAAAAGGAAAGGTATGAAACAGAGAGCCTGTAATTATTTCTTAGCCAAGAGCACTTTTACTTTGAAGCCTTGAGAGAACAGACCTTTGAATTAAATCTAAGTTCAAGTTTATTAGAAGTTACTATGGCAGATACTCAAGAATCATTACTTTTAAAAATTAAAGAACAAGGTGATCTTGTGAGAAAATTGAAAGCTGCGAAAGAATCAAGTGAAAAGGTAAGTTTCTTCTGAACAATATAATCTGGCTGCACTATTAACATATTGATGTATTGTTATAATATTGCATCATACTGTCAGAAGTAAATATGAATTCATTTGAATTGTAGGCTAAGAAGAATAATTTAAAGTACAATTTACCAGAGATTGAGAAACATTTATGTGATTATAGTTACATTTGTGGGTACACTCCCAGTTATTGTGATATAGAATTAAAGAATGACATAGGAAAGAATATAGATTTTGAGAAATACATATCCATCAAGAGGTGGTGGTACCATATGGGGAGTTTCAATGAATTTGAAATATCATTGTTACCTAGATTGAGTCCTCCTAAAGTGTTGGAAAAAGTGAATGATGGGACTGCAATAGATCAGCAGGTGTGTTCTCATGCTGTTGTAGATTTTGGATTTGCTTTGTGTACATATTGTAATGAGCTAAGCATGAGATATTTGCAAGATTAGCTTGGTTTTTGGTTCACCCCTCTAAGTAGATAGTTGTTGAATCTCCACATATGGTTGTTTCGTCACCACAACCTCTTTTTTATAATGACTTTCTTTAACCATTACTGAAATGATCAGTTAGAAAGAGTACAAAACATGTATAAAAAATTATTTGAAATGTATAATATTGAATTAATTTCTTTTTTCCGGTTGTAACAAAAGTAAGGCTGTGGTGACGAGATATTCTATATTTGAAACTGTGGAGACAGAACTAGTGAAGCATGTCTCATAAATTGTTGAGGTTCCTAAAGAACCGTGCAACTGTGATGCGATTACACAATCCAGTAGTCAGCACTAATTTCACAAAATGTATTGCAACAACATCTCAGTGCAAGGTATTGGCCTACTTAAGTAATGCTTTACTATTTTATTACGACAATAAAAAAAACATGTTAGTTATTAGTACTTTAGTTATTAGTCTATTGTTTCTTATTTGTTTTGCTGTTTTCGTTTTGTTATATCTGTAAACTGTTTTTTTTTTTCTATTACAACAATTTCTTTCACTCTCTTTTGTGAGGAATTATTATTACGTAGCATTGATGTTTCCTGTGTATGCCTGTAGGAACTACTATGTTCTCTATTTCAAACTTTTGACTTTAAAATGAATCTGCAATTGCTATAAAATAGAGTACTAGATGTGTCTATGTGTCTGTGATGGCAGATTTTTTATAGGGGAAATGCTCTTATTGTTAAAGGAAGAAATCTGTAAAAAATTCTAAATTCTGTATTGTAAATAAATTACCTATTGCACTAATTTTTCATCTGAGTAAAAGTTTATTTTGTTTATTTTAAATTTTAGATTCAGGAGGAAGTTGCTAAGCTATTAGCATTGAAAGCACAGCTGGCTCCGGCTGAAGATGCAGCTCCTCAAAAATTCACCCTTAAGACCCCTAAAGGTACACGGGATTATAACCCCCAACAGATGAGCATAAGGAATGGAGTCCTACAAAAGATTATTGCTGTATTCAAGAGACACGGTGCTGAATGTATTGACACACCTGTCTTTGAGTTGAAGGTGACATTATTTTTATTTAACTATGCATGATATTGCTAAGTTATAATTATCAAGAAATATAATTTTGTTTTAAGATTTTCTTCATGACATACTTCTTTTTTTATTTCTAGGAAGTTTTAACCGGAAAGTATGGTGAGGATTCTAAACTGATCTATGACTTAAAAGACCAAGGAGGTGAAATTCTGTCTCTGAGGTATGACCTGACAGTGCCACTCGCGCGGTACCTGGCAATGAATAAGATCAACACTCTGAAGAGATACCACATTGCTAAGGTATACCGCCGAGACAATCCCGCAATGACTAGAGGCAGATACAGGGAGTTCTACCAATGTGTAAGTATTTTTTTAGATGTAGCCCCACTAGGATTTCGCATAATAACTGCAGCTACAAAATGTGAATCCGCAACACATTACAACTGCCAATCTACATAATTTGATGGTTTATAAAAAAAGTGTGACTGAAAGTGATATAAAAACAATATTAAGAAGTACAATTTTGAGGTCAATCCTTTTAATACGTAAATTAATAATGTATTATACACTTATTACAGGATTTCGACATAGCAGGCCAATATGACCCCATGGTGCCTGATGCGGAATGCCTAAAGGTAGTCACTGAGATATTGGATGCCCTTGAGATCGGCTCGTACGTTTTGAAAGTAAATCACCGGCGGCTACTAGACGGCATGTTCGAAGCTTGCGGAGTTCCCGCTGACAAGTTTAGAACTACTTGCTCCACTGTTGATAAGTTAGATAAGGTAAGGACATTAAATTTTTTTTGTGCCAGAAGCAAACTTGTAAATAGTTTTATATCAAAATATTCAATTCGATTCATGAATAATACATAGGTACATAGGTACCGTTATTTACTTATTTATTTATTTTTACCGTACCTACGTAAGCTGTTGCGAAATCATGTTCCTTTTATTTGTCATCCCAAAATAAAAATATTTTGAAAGAGCTTTCATCTTGACATTTATGTTACTGTATACAAAAACATTATGTGCAGAATTTTACTTATTTAACTTACTTAAAGCGCATTTTACAATAATTAAATATCCTCATTATAATTTCCCCAGTCGCCATGGGAAGAGGTAAGGACTGAAATGATAAATGAGAAGGGCATATCGCCGGACGCTGCCGACAGAATAGGCGAGTATGTACGACTGAACGGAGGCGTGGAACTAGCTGATAAACTCCTTACTGATGAGAAACTGTCTAAGACTAAGGCTGCGGTTGAAGGTCTGCAAGGGATCAAATTGCTGTTGGAGTATTGCGGCCTCTTTGGTATCCAGGATAAGATATTGTTTGATCTTAGTCTTGCTAGAGGCCTGGATTATTACACCGGTGTTATATACGAAGCTGTGTTGACGCGTGAGTATATTATTATATTTTATCACTGATTATAACCGTGATGTTATGTGTTGTTATCTTGTTTACCAATGATTCTAGAGTATCATAGTTATACTCAATAAGTAAAAAGTAGCCCTACACCTGTTACGGGTAGCTTTTTTTTGGCAGCATTTAAAGCGAATGTGATACTCTTTGGACTCAAAAAACCTGAGAATAATTTGTATTTAAGTTCGAAACTAGCACTTTAGACGCTTCATTATTTTAAAAACATAATTGTTTTAATTGCAAATTATGTTAGTTAGACAATAATGATTTAAACAAACATTACACCTTATTATAACCAATTATGTTGATTGTTGACTTGTTATTGAAAACTATGTTTCCTTTCAGAGCCAATTAAAATCGGCAATGAAGACCAGACTGTCGGATCCATCGCTGGCGGTGGCCGATACGATAACCTTGTTGGCATGTTCGATTCGAAGCATAAACAGGTACAGATATTTTTTTAAACATTTACTCAATATACATTAAAGAAGGAAGAATTGCAAATGCGTGACACACCCACAAAAGAACATAATTGATAAATAAATATAGAATGTAATTAATAAAATTAAAGTGTTCCTTAGTAACAAAATGTACAAAGTAATATGCGCTAATAATAAAAAAAACTGTAATTACTAATTGATTGCAAACTCACTGAGGCGCGACAACGTTTAGTCCATCATAATTGCTGTTGATCGCTGAGTTTTGTAATCGCAGGAGAAAAAAGAGCCAATACTTGCGAAAGTAAATCCGGCATGGAAATGTTTAGGTGTTCAGGATTTTTAACTTTACTAGAAGTCCAATAGAGTGTATATTTGAATAGCGTTTATTAGCCGTTATGCCTAGAGCTGTTCAATATCTAACAAATGGTCAGCTTCAGATGACGGTGGCTTAGCGCTTCGAGTTTATGTAACGGCAATTAGCCTTCTATCTATGTAATTAAATATAATTACAAAAATCAATATCAGCAGGAATGACCATCCATAGATATACTAGTAATAAAACAGGGTCATCCAAAAACTTATCAAAATTGATTTAAAGAATAACAAAGAAAAGCTGACTCGCATGTTGAAATATTTGATGAATATTTATGTTATTGGAGTGTTATTTAATCCTTATATCATTATTTCATATTATGTAATCATACTCATTGATTTGATTATCATATTAATTGTGGTTTTTATGAATGAAGATATGGCAACTTTATTCAATCATGCATAAATTTACATAATTCATTCTTTAGAAATAATTCTATTTTCACCACGTGGCCGGCTCATTCCTTTCATGTTTTAAAAAAATAAAATTGTATAGTATTATTTTCTTTCAAGTAAAAAGTACTGAATATATCTGGATAAAATTTAGCACAGGTAGATTAGAGTTACGAAATAATATAGAAATAGGTAACACACAGTATATTTTTAGGAGATCTTTTGCAAGATGGTCAGGCTCTAGTCACTGCACTTACTGCAGGATACTGATCAAGCGGTCGCAAGCCTGACAAGAAACAAGGTGGTTCTAATGAACAATTTTATAATAATGATATACTAATTTATGTTCCAGGTCCCATGCGTAGGCGTCAGTATCGGAGTTGAGCGTATATTCTCCGTGTTGGAAGCTAAACTAGCCGCTGGAGACATATCTGTGCGTACGAGTGAAGTTGACGTATACGTTGCGTCTGCGCAGAAGAACTTCCTTGAAGAACGTATGAAGATCTGCGCTGAGCTGTGGAATGCTGGAATTAAAGTAATAATGATAGTGATTTTAAGAAACTTATTTGAGAAAGAATTAATTTTCAATTATATTTTTAATATTCAATGTAAAAGAGTTGCATTTTGTAAATGGCGTTATTTATGAAACAACAAATGCAACTACAGACTCCGTTATTTCAAAGAATATTAAAATAGAAATGATCCAGATGTTGGACAAAATACCTATAAATCAGTAGAGGCATTTACAAAACCTTAAATCTTCATAGTAAGTAAATATTATGTCGCAGTCAATTTAAAACTGTCTATTCCTTACAGACCGAGCAGTCCTACAAGAAGAACCCAAAAATGTTGAATCAGCTACAGCACTGTGAAGAGAACGGCATTCCTCTAGCAGTTGTATTGGGCGAGTCAGAACTCAAACGAGGAGTCGTCAAAGTAAGGAACATCACCACAAGACAAGAGGATGAAGTACCTAGGGACAAACTTGTTGAAGACCTTAAGACTAGAATTGCAGCATTAAATGTTAAAGAACTCAACGGATCAGCGTAATTTGACACTAGTATATTTGAAGTATTTAAAACAATATTCACTTGTTATATTGCAAATTCGACTTTATACCAAATGGAATGAGGTTCATTTTGTAGTGTATGTATGCGAATGGTTGTTTAAATACGTCATAGGGTTACAGTTCAATTCGTTTTCTAAATTATTATGTTCAGTTTTAGAATGTTGGTATTTAAGAATGTGTCACAAGACTGTTTCTAGTTCATCTTCTATAGAAATTCTATTGATACTTATTTTCTAAAGAAACTAGCCGACGTATGAAACCTTATTTACTGTTCTTTCGTACTAACTAACAAATCTAAGCCTTCAATTCTGGTTTAGAGTTAATTTCATTTAATAATCATAGAAAGTACATATAACTCGGAAAAATTCACATTGGTACTTGCCATTGGTAGGTTTCGAACCAACGTCATTACAATTTCAGTTAAACGTGCTGACAAATATAACTGATTGGTCTTATTTGAAATGTGAAAGTTTAAATGAAGTGACTCTGTTTATAAACAATTGCTATACACTTAAATATCTGCCTTTGTTCCTAATGCTGCCAGAATTTATGCAGCTGCACGTTAAAGCTGTCTTTAGACCTCAAAGCGACTTCTCTTTATGTTAAAAGGCAAGTCATTTTGCCTCAAGAGTTATTGACTTCCAATAACAATTTTAATGTTGATTGACTTGAAGACAAATAAATCTAAAATGTACATCGTTACATTTACTGCGATTTAAACTTTATTTGGATACTGTTTGGGTATCAATTGCAATGCATTTGGATACTGTTTGGGTATCAATTGAAATGCATTTGGAAGCGTAATTTTGATTAAAAATAGAATTTGTACTTACCTATTCAACAAATTGGTCTTAATTTCTAAATGTAAAGTGATTTTTATTTTTTATTCTACTGTAACATGTATCACAAAATGTCTTGCATTTTTTCTCTGTATTTTTACGATTTTAAATAATTAAAATGTTAAGTTAAATTTAGTTCTTCTTAGCATTTTAAAACAACTTAGTAATTTATTGTAGCGACGAAATTTTAAGTTTAAAACCCCTAAATATAAAGTATGCGTCAATCCATTTTTGTATATGTGTGAGTTACAATATTCGTTTTAATAAATTATGAAACTAATTTTGTGTTTTTCATTCAACTTAAACCTTAATTCCCATTGATTCCCTGAAGTATTACCTTATTTATTTACCTGTATGAAACTGCGATAAAATCTAGATTTTAGCTGCATATTTGATGAGTTGTATTACATGTTGTAGAAAGATCTAATACGGTTTGACAAATAACCTTTGTCTCACTATCCTTTGACTTAGCGCAAAAATAATGATGATATAGATACACGATTAAGGTTGCAGGGAGCCACTGGGTACAGGTTTCTTCCAATTGGCCTATCTGGAAGCCATCGGGGAGGCCTATGTTTAGCAGTGTACTTTTTGTAGCTGATATGATGATGCTGATGAGTTAGTCAAGCGATCTCGGGTTCGAATCTCAGATAGGGATAACATGGCTCTATTTGATATTTTGAAAATTTCTCAGTACCTAGTTGTTAGCGTGGAGCCTGGAACAGTGATCTAATGGCAATAAGATTGCCTATGTACTCGCAAGCTGAGAGACGAGAACCTTTCACCATATAAAAAGCGATTAAGCCGAAGCAATGCAACTGACGGTTATCTCATTTTTCCTTTTTTTATGTATCTAGGTACCTACTAGCACCACATAGGTATCATCCCATTCTTCTTGAAAGTACGGTGGCTGTTTATGTGTAAGTATCTGCCTACTTATTTTTTAATTGGTCACATTCGTCAACTGATCAAAAGACCTTTGTTTGAATAGGCAAAATCATTAAATGACTTCCGCCCTGGGTGAGGCGAGAGAGAATGCGACTATTACTGACTAAAAACCATCCCGTTCATAATCAAAGTCAAAGTCAAAATCATTTATTTCAATTAGACCAGACAGGCACTTTTGAACGTCGACAAAAAAATTAAAGTGAAGCTAATTGCTCTTCCTACTCTTACTTAGAGCTGGAGCCCCAGTAACGGTTAGGGGTTTAATTTCCGAATAATATTAGCTACCTATCCAATCTATTGATATTTGGTTTTCTCAGAGATTGTTGTTTTGGGTCTGGGTGTCATTGTGTATGTGAAATAGTATGTTTGCAAACGCACCCACGACACAGGAGACAATCCAAGTGTGGGGCAATGTTTATTAAAAAAAAAATACTTCCTAGTTAAAAAAAAGAGAATTGTGTTTGTAGCGCAGTAGACTCCCTATTACATAGGACTCGTATTTTTTTTTTTTTTAAGGGGGTAAAATCATCTAATGACTGCTCCCGCCTGGGTGAGGCGGAAGGGAGTGTCAGACTCTTACTGACTAAAAACCACCCCGTTCCTTCTCCTGCACGTCGAGCCGGAGCCCCGGTTACCCGTTAGGTTCTTCGCGACTACATAGGACTCGTATAACTGGTCAAAAGTAGGTGTTACATTTATTTCGATGATTTTGCCTAACTAAGAAGTGTGATGTTATGTACCTACCTACTTAATATTTATTTATGCTCCATAAATATGCATGTATAGTTGCACGACAAAAAAAAAACTTCTACAAACAAACGATTGTTACAGATAAACTGATGTTGAGCCTCGAATCACAATGGGTAACAGCACTGCATGACTTACTTTTCAAGTAAAAACTTGTTTTTTAATTTTTTTGTCAAGTCTCACTCTAATAGATGAAGCACAAAGGTCAGTACCCTGCCGTTACTGAATTTCAACTACCGTAAGCTCATGAAACTTGCTACGTCATCTTAAGATGTTTCAATGCACCCTGCGCTTTTGATCCTACCTACCTAGTGATAAGGGATTGACTTCTGATTTGTAGGGTTGGTATAGGTATTACGAATTCGATGTTACAAATATATTATGTAGGTACGTAATGTTTTTATACCTAAGTCATGCCATACCACAAAAAATCTCAGTAGTAGCACGGAGTCTGAAATCGTGCCCGGTATATGGCAATAGGCTCACCCCCTATTACATGGAACTCACAATATAAATAGTGAAAACTGGGTGTTACATTGTACAGTGGCATTAAGTTCCGTAATGTGTACCTCTGCCCACCCTTCGGGGATAAAAAGGCGTGATATTATGTTATGTCATGTCATATCAATACCAATAGTAGTAGATATAAACCTAAAACTACGATCATTATTAGGTAACATAAGTAGGTAAGTCTTTTGACGCCTCGTTTAAATCAATTCATTAATTCTACACTCTGTCCTAATTCATTTTCTTACAAGGATAAAATAATAGCCAGGGCTCTAGATAGGCAGGACCGTTTATGTGTTCGCAACAAAACCATTATCAGGTGTAATGAGGTTAATACTTAGCATACTCAATACTCAATACTTTATTGCTTTTCACATGTATTACTTAGGTTTAGGTGGTAAACATAATTAGGACACAATGTGAACCCTGTCGGGCACAACAACATAAGTTTTGGAGGGAGCACACTTGACATGTTATTCGGAGAATTAAAAAAAATATAATTAACATACAATAGAATTAATATCAAATGGAATACAAGCTAAAGGTATAATTGAAATTGTAGTATTTAGGATTCAAGTTATTTTTTAAATCTCAAACAATCAAAATTAAATACTAAGTCATAATCATAATAAAATAAAAAGAAATCATAATCAAAATTAAATACAAAGACAGAATCATAATAAAATAAAAATAGCATAAACAGAAACAGGTAACCACGCGGAAAACTATTGCTTATGGTAGTAATATGTTCTGTGGTAGTAATAAGCAGACAGGTGCACAATATACCTAAGTACGATGAATCAATGACCTTCTAGTCAACGTCCCGTTTAGGCTCCATTGACCTCGATCGGTTTGTCCTACAGAACGTCCGCGTGCTTCTAGTTCCATAATGTCATGTCATGGACGCGCCAGCCAGTTGTTCGACTCATTGTTCCCACAACAGCTTCTGTGGTTCCTGTCATTGTGCCCAGATTCACCGTGAAGTCCAACACGATTTTCGACGATATAAAACTGTTTATAACATTCAACACCCGCCTATTGTAAGTTATACCGTTTTACTGACAACACCTAACGTTAAACGTGAGATGAGATGGTGCCCCGGTATAAGTATTGCGTTGGTTGGTTACTTTGTGTGTTATTATTAGTTTCAACCATCAGTGGATCGGCGATCAAAGATGCGCTGGAAGAACATCTAAAAGACATCGCTCATGACGAAGGATTGGAGTCTATCAAGCATGATAAACAGAAAGGTGAAAAAATACATCAAGAAGAGAGCCAACTAAATGACAGTCATAAGAACCAGTACTCAAAAGCCAATGATGAAGCAAAGTACCTCAAGAAGGAGCATGATACGAAATCATCTTCGGAAGGCGACGCATATAAGGGTTATAATAATAAACATGATAAAGCAGAGGATAGTGAGGCGACCGGTTACAAGAGGGGTCACAAGAAAGGACATCACAAACAAGGATTTCAAAATTCATACCATAAAGATGAGTCTTCAAACAAAAGCACTTATTTTGATGATTTAACCGACGAGGGCGATCAAGCAGCCTATAACAGCAGACTAAACTCTCACGACAACCAGGGAGGTAGGAGCTACCATGGATCTCACAACAACGGTCAGGAATATGTAAGAGATAACTATAACGGCGGAGGATACAACAGGTACGGTGACACAGGAGTTAAGCAACATGGCCATCAAGATTATGGCAAGAAATATTATTTAGATGACAATTTGAATCACAATAAGTACAAGAACACGCACAACAATTATGCCCGAGATAAAATTCATGATCATCGTGAATATCGAGCGCCAGAAGTTCATCATCATGATCCTGGTTGGGACTGGCAAAGGTGGAACGATAAAAGAGATTGGGATCGTCCCGGGTGGCAGAGAGATCCAGGTTGGGAAAGAGATCCTGGTTGGCAGAGAGACC